CAGGGCTTTACCTCGTGAGTATCTTGCTGGCCCCAAGACCAAATTCTTAGATCAAGTTTCTCAGCACAAAGGAGACTGATTTGCCCCAGAGGGGCAGAGGGCAGGGATAAGGGACAAAGACAGGAGATAGAGGATGAAGGAGAGGGGAGGGGAGCCAGGGGAAGGGGCCAAAAGACCAAGGACTTCCTCTGGATAGAGAGGGGACAGTAGCGACCCACAGGAAAACTGCGGTTTGTGAAGCTACAAGGGGAACCCTCATGTTAGGACGAGGTGTTTAATTTTAATTGGGCCTGTTGACTTGGTGAGCCCAAGGGGTTCTTTTGATTGCTGGATTTCAATACCATGATGGCTAGACCTTGGTAGGCGGCCTCAGGAGGAGGGATTGTCCAAATACGGGAATGGACCTCACGGGCTAGCTTCAGGAATGCAATCCAGCCGTTTTTGGCAAGGGCGAGGCCTGCCAAGGCCACATGTTTGAGTGGGCTAGTGTCTCTTCACCCACTTTTTAAATTTTGATTTTATTTTTTCCCCCCATAAAGAATCTCACTCTACCCCAGATTGATCTGGGAATTCGCCATGTTTAATGGAGGCTGGCCTAGAACCACATTGATCTCCTAATCTCAGCCTCCCAAGTGCCGGGATTACAGATGGGAGTCACCATGCCTGGCTCATTTTAACTCTTGTTTGTTTGAGACAGGGTCTCGCTAGATAGCCTTGGGTGGCCTGGAACTCACAGAGCTCTGCCTGCCTCTGTCTCCTGATGTTGTGATTAAAGAGTGTGCCATAATGGTAGAATCCTGAGGCCCACTCTGTTCAAGCAAGTATGAAGTAGACTTGGGATTCAGTAGCTAAAAGGATCACACACACACACACACACACACACACACACACACACACACACACACGGCATGAAGAGATCCCATCACATTGTTCTCTCAAAAGAACAATGTTAGGTACAGTGGCTTGGGTGGGGCACTACCTTATTTCAGTCTCCATTATCTGTAGTCATGCCATGGGCCCCCTAGACTCTCCATTGTCCACACTTGGCATTTGGAATGGCTTTGGCTTAGATGAATAATCTCTCACCTTACAGGCTGTCGTTTCCCCAGCCACACCAGATAATGCTCTAACGGTGGTGTCCAGGATGTGGTCAGCGGGCACTCACCTCCAGTGGAGAATTACACACACCCTACTCTCAGACCCAGTGCTAAGGAGCAAGCATAACCTGTGTCATCTGTAAACCTTCTTTCCACATCCCTCTACGCTGTCTCTGCTGCCTGGGGCGTTCCCACGAATTAAGGTACAGCTAGCTCCAACATCGACCGATGCTCCAAGTAGTCTGCACGTTATTAGCAGGGGACCAGTAAGTCTGAAATCCAATGCAGAGCCACGGGTAGCCCTGAGTAGTTCTCACCGTCGCATAGCATCAGCCGTCTTATTTGGGAGCAGCTGGGTGAGATCCCCAACTCCTGAGACCCCCTTTCTCTACACACCATCAGTGCCAACTCCTGCTGGCCACTTCTTTGGTGAACCCGTCGTGCTTCACAAGTTTTCAAAGGCTCACAAGAACAGCTTTCACTCAACTTCCCTTCACACAAATCTGGCCACTTTTGTCTGTGAGTGACCCAGGCAGGCCTCATCTGCTTTGCCATCCAAACTGGATTTACTTGCTGGTAGAAGTCTTTCAGATCCACCGAAGCCTCTCTCAGCTAGCAAGGATTAGGTTCCAGTACGGGTCACCGGAGCCAACAGTCCCCTCTCTTTCATCTTTCTTTCTAATTTTATTTTATGTGTATAGGTGCATGCATGCCCAGTGCCCGTGGAAGCCAGCAGAGGGCATTTGATCTCTTGGAACTGAAGTTAGAGATGGTTGAGAGACACCATGTGGGAGCTGTCAATCAAATCCAGGTCCAGTACTTCCAACAATTGAGCTGTCTTTCCAGTCCCTCATTTTCTTTTTCTTTTTCTTTTTTTTTTCTTTCTTTCTTTTCCTCTTTTTTTTTTTTTAAAGAGATAGGCTCTTACTATTAGACAAGGCTGGCCATGCAACTTCTACCTGGCTTCGTATGGGACACATATGGACACTGATTGCAGTCTACTGTCAGCCATTCATGGGGCCTCCCTGTAGTCGCTTGCTTGAGCCCACAGGCTTTTAATCACAAAAGTGAAGGGGCAAGGTCCCTGATCCCTGAAGAAGAAGGGGCAGGGTCCCCGATCCCCGAAGACGTGAACTTTTATTTGACTGGCATAGATGATTGACGCCTCTAGGTTATATGTTATATCAGATCTACTCAACATGCATCATCCCAGTATCCTCTCTCTCTGTTACAGTCACAAGATGACTGTCACAGTCTTAACAGACTTAAGTGGTTTGCAATGTCCCAAAGATCACCTTGGGACAACCAGTTTCCTTTAGTGCACATGTGTGCCAAATCCCTACTGAATTTTACTTCCTCAGTGGCCAGACTTCTTCCAGTGTGTTGGAGTCGGGGGTTCTGCACTGTGCAAGGGATGACCCAGTACAGTCCGCAAGGCAATTGTTTTAGTTGCTGTGTCTCAGAGATAACCTTGCCAGACTCGTCGTCTGCATCTGCCCCGCGTTCCTGCCTCAATAGGTGGCCACATTCATTCAGAACTGTGTCACCCCACATCACACAGAGGAAGACACACCTGCACTAGGACATCTCGCACAGACATCCCACCTCCAGGCAGCTCAGCTTTGTTCTCGTGTGTTACTTGTAAAAAGGACCATGCAACTGCCCCTCTCATTCTTTGGGTCCGTCGTGTTGCTCTTGGGGAACTGGTCTATTGTCTCATTTTCCCTGGGGGACAGGTGAGCAAATGTCTATTCACGCAGACACGGTGGCAGCCCACAGAAATGGTTCCGTTGAGTTTGGAACCCAGTGAGTTTACTGGGGTTACACACAGAGGCACGAGTTACTCGGTAACAGCTGCACCATGGCAAAGCACCACCCGCAAATGACCAATGGTCCCACTCCTGATTGTCCTTTCACTTCCTGTGTTCTCATGCTCCCTCAAGACTGCATGCAACTGGTGTGCACGAGTGTGGAGTGCATGAGCCTCAGTCACGCGTTAGAGCCGGCTCTGCTCTGTGTGTCCAGGAGAAAGCAGAAGCTCTCCAAACTTTAGTCCATACTCTGGCAAGATAGAGATTATAACATGACATTCTCTCATCGGTCTGATGAGTATCTAGAAGTTTGGCACATGGTTGCAAAAAGAATTGGACCCATTGAGTAGATAACACCATATCTCAAAGTCAGGGTTCTTATTGTTCATTATTTATTTGTTTTGTTAGTTGGTTTTTCGAAACAGGGTTTCTCTGTGTAGCCCTGGCTGTCCTGGAACTCACTCTATAAACCAGGCTGGCCTTGAACCAGACCTCTGCCTCTCTAGTGTTGGGATTAAAGGTGTGCACCACAACTTCCTGGATAGTGTTACCGTTTGATAATGACCCACAGACAAAGAATTAAGTAATATTTTTCACTTGGGAGGTGGTGTCAAGGGGATCAGAAGTTAAAGGTTATCGTTGGCTACAAAGAGAGAGAGAATTCAAGGCCAGCCTGGTTTACATGAGATCTTATCTTTAAAAAGAAAAGTTTTTTTATTGTTGATTTATTGACTTGATTATTACAGAGGGAATGTGAGAGACTATTCTGTTTTTGTTTTTTTTTTTTTTTCATTCAAGATTTATTATGTATACTTGCCTCCATGTATGCCTGCAGGCCAGAAGAGGGCGCCAGATCTCATTTTGGGTGGTTGTGAGAATTGAACTCAGGACCTCTGGAAGAGAAGCCAGTGCTCTTAACCTCTGAGCCATCTCTCTAGTTTGCCCCCCCCCCCTTTTTTTTTTTATTCTTTTTGGACACTTTTTTTTTTAAACCAATTACTCCAACCCATTCATGAAAAAAAAAAAATGGAGGACAGAAAATGTATCCCCAAATCGGTATTCCAAGCATGAAGAGACCCAGAGAGAAGGAAGTGAATATAGAATAAACAGTGACATTTGGGAAATCAGTCGATGAAGGGATTCTTTGTTTTGTGTTATTTTTTTTTCCAAGTCTGAAATTATGTTACATGGAGTTTTCAGTGTTTCTTAGAGCATGGTAAACCTAATTTCTCTGTTTCTCCCCAGCTTTTAGATACAAGATTATAACATGCAATAAACATTTTTAGCAGAACCGAGGCCGGGTGTTTAGAGCAGGGCTGACCAACTACAGGCAGGGGACCAAATGCAGCCTGTGTCCCGTTTTTCAACAGCCTGCCCGATAAGAATAGTTTTTGTATGTGCAGTTGGGCAGTGATGGACTGGCTAGAGATCCAGTTCCACACTGAGCATGTGTGTGCGTGTGCTGTTGTGTGCTGGTATGTGTATAGTGTGGTGTGCAGACATGTGAACACGTGTGCACGTGGAAGCCAGAGGACAACTTGGAGTGTCATCCTCAGGGACACCACCAACCTCCTGAGCAGCAGGGTCTGTCAGTGGCCTGGGGCTGGCTCACCAACTGGGCTAGCCCCGCTGTCAGTCAAGCCCCAGGATCCTCCTGTCTCTGACCCCCCCCCCAGCATTAGGACTGCAGACTGGTGTCACCACCCCGTGATCTTTACACTGAGCCCCTCCCCAGCCTAATATTTACGACGGAAATGTCAGTGTCTGTGGCTGAAGCACTCCTGATCTCTAGCGGAACTGTTTTCTCCATCCACTGACGGGGAGCAGCAGCTTCTACGGGGACTCGGGAGCAATAGACCGAAGTGCTTGTTACTCGGCCCTTCGCAGAAATCGCTCAGGAGAAGGCAGGTTGTGTTTGTTTCTGAAACTGTAGCATTTTACTTTTTATTGTAGTTGCAGTGTTAACTCCAGATTATTATTAGTTTTGAGACAGGGTATCATGTAACCCAGGTTGTCCTCAATCCTGTGAATAGACACAGACACATGTATGGAAACAAAAAGTAAAATAAATTGGTTTTTTTTTTAAGTACGAGTGCTTGCTTTGGCAGTACATATGCCAAAACTGAAATCATACAGACATTAGCATAGTCCCTGGGGAAGGGTGACGTAAGCATTTGTCAAGCAGTCTGTATTCATTTTTAGATTTTTTTTTTTTTGTGCATGAATGTTTTATATACCACACAAAGGCCTGGTACTCAGTGAAGCCAGAAGACTGTGTTAGAACCCCGTGACTGGAGCTACAGACGGTTGCAAGCCGCCATGTGGGTGCTGGGGATTGAACCCAGGTCCTGTGGAGGAGCAGCCAGTGCTCTTCACCACTGAGCCACCCCTCCATCCCTATCTCATCATCTGGCATACAGGAGTTCTTTTTATTGTGCTTTTTAGATTTTTACTCTTCCCATGCAGCCCAGGTTGGCCTTGAACTCATAACAATTCTTTTGCTCCAGTCTTTGCCGGTACATACAGGAACTCTTATATCAGAATGGAAAGTCAGCAAAGCGCTTGTGGTGGTGATATCTCATTTATGATTTAGGAAAGCTTGCCTAGAGTTCAGAAATGCAAAGTAGCTGGCCACTAGTTTCTTATGTCTGCCTCATGCTTAAAGAGCTGATCCTGTCTCCAGGAGGTCTCACCAAGCCTCGAACTGTAACCTGTCCTCAGCGTGGCTGGAGAATGAATGCCTCTGACAGAATACTGAAGACCCTGCTTCTATCTTTTATGCCCCTCTAGTGCTGGTGTTAAAGTCATGTGATCTGTTACTCTTTCAGACTGATCCAATCTCATGTATCCCTGGGCGGCCTTGAACTCAAAGAGATCTGTCTACCTTTTAATCCTGCATCCTAGGACTAAAGGTGTGTGCCACCACCTTCTAGCTTCTGGCTGATGGAATTAAAGGTGTGTGTCTGGCTTCTATGGCCTGTGACTGACTTTGCTTTCTGAATCCTCAGGCACGATTTAATAAATCATGACTAACATATCACCACAGCTTGACACACAAATATGAAGACTTCCTGAATTTGAGTCTTCAGAAATCATGTTGCAAAAAGAAGAAGAAAAAAAAAGTGTGCCCAAAGTCCTTATAATTCCAGGATGGGAGGCAGACATCAGAGGGTCCCTGGACCCCTCTGGCCAGTCGATCTTGCCAAGTCAGTGAGTTCCAGTTTCAAAAGACCCTGCCACAACAAAACAAGGTGGTGAGTGGCTAAATAAGACACCAGATGTCAACTTTTGAACCCCCACATCCAGATACACATGTGCACATGCACACACAGAAATGCACACACATACACAATATAAAATTTAAAGTTACTTAAAAGTAAATACCTAAATAAGCCAGGCATGGTGATTCACACCTGTACACTTGGGACTTGGATGGCTGGAGTAATAGGACTGCAAGTTTAAGGCCAGCCCAGATGTGTGCTATGAGCGGTTTTCCTGCCAGCCTGGTTCCACTGCTGCACCAGCCCCAAATAACACACTGTATTAGACATAAAGTTGTTAGCCTGTTACTAGCGTTTCTTATTGGCTACCTCTGTTTTAAATATTAACCCATTTCTATTAATCTAAGTATTTCCATGTGGTCTTATCTAACTGGAGAGAGGGTCTGGAGTTCTGCTCTCTTGGTCCTACATTTTGAATCTCCTCCTACCTCTCCCTGAATTCTTCTTCTCTCCTAGTCCCGCCTACCTTGCTTTCTTATTGGCCAACAGTGCTTTATTCATTAACCAGAACAAGAAACATATTTACAGAATGACATGTCCCATCAGATGAAGAAGGAGGTGTTCAAAACGAACACAGGGCTCGAGTGAGAGCTCAGTGGCGAAGCCACTTGCCTGAAGTCCCGAGTTCAGCTCCTAGAGTTCACATGGAGGAAAGACCCAACTCCTACAAGCTGTCCACTGACCTCTACATACAAGCATGGCACGTGTGTGCCTGAAGACATAAATGATGTAATCTAAAATAAACAGCAGCGCCCTCCCACCCCACCCCAGCTGAAACCGGGGGCAGCCCTTTTCCTTTGTTTTTTGAGACAGGGTTTCTCTGTGTGGCCCTGGCTGTCTGGAAACTCTCTCTGTAGACCCGGCTGGCCTTGAATCCACAGGGATCTGTCTGTCTGTCTCCTGAGTGCTGGGCCACTGCCAGGCCCCACGGTCCTTTTCTGATCTCTGTCACATCTTTAAGTCTCTGACAAAGGAAATCATGAGTTCCACATCTCAGGGTTAAGTTGCGCAACCAAGCCAGGGGCGCAGTTATAAAGCAATGAAAAGATAAAATTGTGAAATACACAACCCTGCAAGTTGATGGTCATGTGCCAGGAACCGGCTCGTGCATGTGATAGGGAGGGCTTCTGGGGTGTCTGAGCTGCCCTTGGGGGACACCCAAGGACCCATGGGACGGACTGGGTTGGGGGAGGCTATGGGAACAAAACGGCCATCATCATCACCATTCTCCCCAAATTCCCTTCTTATCTTCCTGTGTGTAGGGAGTATGAGCTTTAAGGTTTGTTTTGGGGTTTTGGTTGGTAGTTTCCTGGTCTTTCTGGTCTGCCCCCACACCCTGCTGTTCCTTCTTCAGGGAGGTCCCTTAGGTTGACCCCACTCTGAGCTTACAGCCACACCGCAGCCTCGAGTCACTGCCTCTGAATAATCATAATGGGTTTCTATCCAGATGGAAGGTTGTAATATGAAAAATAGAAGACCCAGAGACAGATATTGGGGTTCAAGCTTCAAACCTATCTCTTTTACCTCTACCTCAGGCCGGAAGGGCTGGACCTGTCTCCATGAGCTCTCACCATGAGCCTCTCCTCAGTGTGGCTGGAGAATCCTGAGGCTTCAATGTCTTCCTATCCTCACTGTGGCTGGAAAATGAATGCCAACTCTGAGACCCTGTTCCTGTCTTAAATACCACTTGAGTCTTGGGATTAAAGGCATGTGATCCCAGGTGCTGACATCACCTTTGTGTGAGCTCTTTCTCTCTAGGACTGGATCAATTTCCTGTATTCAGTGTGGCCTTGAACTCACAGAGATCCATCTACCTCTTGATCCTGAGTCCTGGGATTAAAGTGGCTGACTTTGCTTTCTGAATCCTCAGGCAAGCTTTAATAAATTATAAAAATATATATATCACCACAAAATGTAAAGAGCTATTGATTTGGCCCACACCATGTTGACCCACTAGTGTCTCAAGTTTAATTTCTATAACTGTCAACATACAATCAGAGAATGACATAATGTACATTTCCAGTTTTTCTTGAAAGATGAGACAGTCTGGCCACACCAGGCTGAAAATCCCAGAGAATAAGAGCATACCAGACTCCACTGTCTGGACAGTGGGGACACCACTGTCCTGGCTAGACTTGTCCCCCAGACACAGCCTATAGTCTTCTAAGAAAAGCCTCAACTCAGGGATTGCCTAGATCAGGTTGGTCTGTGGGCATGTCTGTGAGGCAGAATATTGATTATTAATTGATGTAGGAGGTCCTGGCCTACCGGGAGTGGCACCATTCCCCAGGTAGATGGTGTACAAGAGAGCTCTAAGCACACCTTTTACCCTAGCACTGGGGAGGCAGAGGAGGAGGAACTCAGCGAGCTTTGGGCCAGCCTGGTGTACAGAGTAAGTTCCAGGCCAGCCAGGAGTGAGACCGTCTAAAGATAAACAAAAAAATATTTGAAAGTAAAAGAGAAGAAAGCCAGGTAAGCATGAGCTTGAGAGAGCCAACAAGCCGTCTTCCATACTCCCTGTGCTCCTGCTCCGACTTCTCTCAAACCAAGTACACACTTTTCTCTCCAAGTTGCTTTTGGCCAGTGTTTTTATCACAGCAACAGAACACTGTGCTGTTGGTTTTTTTTTTTTTTTTTTTTTTTTTTTTTTTTGTCAACATAGAGTCATCTGTCGTCTGGGAAGAGGGGACAGTCAACTGAGAAGGCGCTGCTATCGGACTGGCCTATAGGCAAGCCTGTGGGGGCATTTTCTTAAAAAAATGATTGATAAGGGAGGGCTCGGCCCACTGTGGGCGGTGCTTCTCTGAGTGGGTGGTCCTGGTGGCATAAAACACGAGCTGAGCAAGCCTTGGAGAGCAAGCCAGTGAGCAGCATTCCTCCAAGGATTCTTCAGTTCCTGCCTCCATATTCCCGCCTCGGCTTCGGATGACGGATGCAAAGCCAGGAAATGATTTCATTGCCAAGTTGCTTTCAGTCATTCATGATGTTTTAATACAGTAACATATAAAGTAAGGCGGACAAACGCCCTCAGTTCTGAGGACTAAGGCTAGGACCTCACATGTTAGGTAAGTACTCAGCCACTGAGCCCTTCTTACTTTTTTAGAGTTTATATGTATGGGTGTTTTGCCGGCATGGTGCACCAAGTATGTGCCTGGTGCCTGGTGCCTAGAGAGAGGTCACAAGAGTGCATCGGTGCCCTGGGGCTAGAGTTACGGAAGGTTGTGAGCTGCCATGTGAGTCCTGGGAACTGAACCCAGGACCTCTGGAAGCGAAGCTAATGTTCTTAACCACCGAGCCATCTCTGCAGCTCCATTATCAATTAATTCTAATCTAATAGTCATCTAATCTTAGTCCTGAACTTGGTACGGAAAAGGAATGAGGAACTTTTGTCTTAATCGGATGATCTTTTACAGGAGTCTCCCAAAGAACATAATTTTCCTGTCCCGCTGACAGCACAGCACACTTGGGTACCCAGCATACATGTGGAGGCCACAGGACAACCCCAAGGATTGACCCTGTTTTCCCAGTTTGTCCCAGGATAGGACCCAGGCCATCGGGCTTGATAAAAGTGCCTTTAGCCACTAAATCTCGAAACGCTAATTAAGTTTTGGGTTTAGTATGTCTTAGACAAGTTGTCACTATGCAGCCTGGGCTGGCCTGGACCCAAAGATCCACCGCCTCTGCCTTCTAAGTGCTCAGATGAAAGGCGTGCCAGTCTCTTTGTAAATTTTCATGAAGGGGCATATATAGGGATTTTGGTTTCTGTCCCTATCATTTTGCTGTAAATTATTTCAAAAGTGTAAAGATTTTTAAGATGCTGTCTTCAAGATCGCTCAAGCACAAATTCTCCAGCATACTCCCCCCTAAAATGCAATGCAACCTCAATCCGACAAGTCATACCACGACACCGGCATT